TATAGTATGGAACTGGATGGATTCTTCTGCTACAGGGAGTGGAAAAATCATTCGAGTTGGAGATCCTGTTTATGTTCTTAGAAAGGTCTCTTCTGCAGCCGAAGCAGCTGCCTGAACTGTGTACGTAGAATCTGCAGGATTCTAATACCAGCAATTAAAGTGCTGCAATTACAAACTTTATAAAACATTAGCCTATTAAATTTCCACCATTCTTATAAAATATAATATACACTTTAGTTTTGTATGTCTAATTCAATAAATATCTTTGTATCTGTGTTTGTTTCCATATTCCTGAAAATCAAATTAACTTTTAAAATTAAAGTTTGATGCTATGGAGAAAAATATCCTGGAATGTAATTTACGGAAATGTTTTCTTTTTCATTGTTCCGGAGCTACATATGGTGTATTCTGCCTCATCTTAAGTGAATTACTTATTGTGCTTCTTTCAATTTTCTTATTTCAAAGTATATGTCTGTGTTACTATATTTTTCTTGAGTTATTATAACTATTATTCTCTTTATATATTAATTTTATTAGGAATATAGTTGAAAAAAATGTTATCCTAAAATTTCAAAAATAACATAAAAGAAGAGATTTTTTTACTAAAAAACTAACGATCGAAAAGGAACGGAAATAGTATGTTAGTAGTTACTATAAGTAGTTGATATTTAAATTCTTCAATGAAAGTTTGGGATTTAATTTTTAATTTATGTATGAAATCAGGATGATATGCATCATTAACTTCCAAGTCAGTGGAATGAGTGACAGAAATATTAGTTAAATATTAAGTATAATTTTCAATACTTTCTAGAAAAAAAAAAGTATAATTAGTTCTTTTAATTATTAGTTTAAAGTTTTGTTTACATTTAGAAAAAGCTATATCACTTTGATCATTTTACTAAATTCGGTAATCATTTTCAGAAAAAAAAAAATTAACCTCTAAAGAAAACTGTTTTTTTCTGTCAAATTATCTTATCTATAATGTGATGTCGTGTCAGGATAACTGTGTACTTCTAGGAGAGCTGGCTGTTCCTGTGGAGTTCTAAAGATATTTTAGATTGCTTGGTTGGAAGTCACAAATGAACTGAGATGTACGAAAATGTGAAAAAACCATGCAACGAGTTTAAAACTGTCTCATATTCAATCATAAATAAACATGTAACTTTGTCAGTAAATTTTATATTTTTGATGTTTACAGTTACACGCCTTTCTTAATTTGAGTTTTATTTTTAGTGACGTTAGTTTAAACAAACATAGTGAAAAACTTGATTTCACCTACTAATTATATCCAAAAGTAATGAGTTTTGATTCTGTTTGATGGTGAATGCTGCTATAATAAGAGTAACCTGTTGAGAGTGGTGAGTTACTTAGAAGAGGAAGAATGGGTGGTGGAGCATCAACAACACCAACACCTTCAGCCAAAGTATCAGCCATCTTCATATACCCAATTAAATCATGCCGCGGAATTTCTGTTTCCCATGCTCCACTCATTCATACTGGTAAGAAATCTTTCTTTCTTTCCTTTTTTCTCACAACAATTTTGTTTCTTTCTCTGTTTATGGTGTAGTGTATACACAGGTTTACTAGTAGTTTTGAGTTGTGTGACAGGATTTCGATGGGATCGACAATGGATGGTGGTGAATCCTCATGGAAGGATGTACACTCAAAGAGTTGAACCAAAGCTTGCTTTGGTTGAGGTTGAACTGCCATCTGAGGCCTTTCTTGAAAACTGGGAACCAACTCAAGAATCCTATATGGGTATATTGCATTTTCCAAAACCATAGCATAATAAATAGTAAACATCATCAGCTTATGGTCTTAAATCAGTTGTTACATAGCACGTATTCGTATTGTTGAAAAAAGATTGGAATTTCATATTCTTCATAATGATGGTTGTTTTCTTCCTAGTTTAATGTTAAGTGCCACTTGATATTACAGTGGTGAAAGCACCTGGGATGCAAGCTCTCAAAGTTTGTTTGAGTAAACAAGAGCAGGAAGTAGCAGATGCTGTCACAGTATGGGAATGGACTGGATCTGCCTGGGATGAGGGAGCCGAAGCATCTCAGTGGTTCTCAGATTATTTAGGAAAATCCTGTCAACTGGTCCGCTTCAACTCTGGTAGGTTTTTGAAAGTATGAAACCTTAGAGAATAAGATAAGAAGAACAACAAAAATGTTTAGAGTGGTGTACTTTAGGCACGTAATTAATTGTTAAAGGAGTAAAGCTTTTTTCAGAACACATGCAATGATTCATTACAACGAGTGCACATTAATTGTCTGGAACTCTTTTAGTTGATAGCATCCACAGAAACAAAACCTATAATGTTGTGAATTAGAGGGCTGGCCAGTTTTAAGACCCGTTTCTTGCTGTGTTGTCTCTCTCATTTTGCTTTGAATGAGAATGCCGGTCAGCCTTGTTATCTTGAACAAGTCACCCAACAGACAAGATACAGATTTCATATACTATCCATTGAAAGTTTCCTTTTGGCCTATGAAAGTTTCATATACTACAGATTTCATATCCATTGTGTTTATGCTTAATATATTTGAAACTTAGGATGATTCTAGAAGTCAATGAGAGACTATGTTTGATGTTTTAAGTAGGATAGTAGTTTTTCAAATAAATCTGTTGTTTTATTTATATATTACTGTTATTTTATGCTATGTTAAATGTATGCAATAATATTACATGAACCAAACTACAATGTTTTCCCGTTCCATGCCATGTGAACCCAATGTCGTATCAGTGCTTTGAATGGCCTTAATAGTTATGATAACTGTCCAATGTTATATTTCCAAACTGTAACCAAAGAATCTTAACAAGCCTTAGAGAGCTGAAGGAGAAAGAAACAGACACGAGACCTGCATTACGCCTGAATTATCTTGTGCAGCAAAGTTGGCTTGAGAACCAAATTACTTCCAGTAGTAATATACAGAGTTTGAGGTGTTTACTTTGAGATTAACATATTCATTTAATGTTTCCAAATGCAGCTTCTGAAGTTAGAAAAGTGGATCCTGATTATGTCAAGGGACAACATGATACCTTATTTACTGATGGTTATCCATTCTTACTAGCATCTCAGGTCATTCTAGCTGGGAATGAAGTTTATATTTTACTTATTTACTGAATCTTTTACTCAGTATTTGTCATTTATCACTTTCAGGAATCCTTGAATGCACTAAACGAGCATCTGAAGGAGCCCATTTCTATTAATCGGTTTAGACCCAAGTATTGATTTTTCGATGTGTTTTTGTTTACTCCTGAATTGTATTGTTTCCTAATATTTGTTATTAACTCACACAATTGAGTTTTTGGGTGTTTCATTGTGCAGTATCCTCGTTGAAGGGTGTGAACCATTTTCTGAGGACATATGGACAGAAATCAAGATAAGCAAGTTTTCATTTTTTGGTGTCAAACTCTGCTACCGTTGTAAGGTACTTTATAATGTCCCACCGCGCCTCCTGAACATGGAGCACATGACTTACCCTGACATTGTCCATCTATGACTCATCTTCTCACTACTCTGTAATGCTTTTCTAACTTAGATATCTATCACATGGATTTGACTCTTCTAAAGTGAGCAAACATTTAAAGTTGGGGGGCATACAAATGTTGATTTGAATTGAAGTGCCCCGTTCACTTTAGAGGAGCTAGATTCTAAAATGCACATGCCAATCTAATTTTCCCTGTAATTTCTTAGTTTTCTTGTTTATCCAACTGGCTTGATTGATTGTTGTATGAACAGGTGCCTACAATCAATCAAGGGACCGGAATAGCAGGGCCTGAACCAAATGAAATTCTCATGAAAACTAGGTCTGGAGAAATCATAAGGCCAAATGATAAAAATAAAAAAAGGGTAAGACCTTGAGTCATCAAGCTTTCAATAAAGCTATTTTTGTTTAATGATGTGAAATGACATGTGAACTGCTTCTGTAGGTTTACTTTGGTCAGTATATGACCTGGAACTGGACAGAATTTTCAGCTGAAAGAAGTGGTAAAATCATTGAAGTGGGGGGTCCTGTTTATGTTCTTCGGAAGGTCTCTTCTTCAGCTGAAGCAGCTGCTTGAACTGCGTATGTGGAATCTATATCGATGCTATATGAGAAATTAAAGAGCTCCAATGACATAAAAATGATCAACCATAGTACCAACTCCATGCGTAGTTGTAACTGGATATACAAATAAATGCAAGCTGGGGCCTGTGATAAGGCTTGTGCAATGAATAACGAGGTTGTATTTTTCTATTTCAATTATGGTAAGTGGTGCCAAAGATAATTGCACGCACAATCTGGTTGAAATGTGATTGGTTACTGAGTAGTTTCATGAATCCACCCGTGTATTCTATCAAGAAAACAGCTAAAATGTCTCCAAAACTTTCCATCGAATGAATTGGCAGCAGTGTTTATTTGTTGATGAATGAGTGGATTCTATTGTTTAACCATCCAATAAAATATTATTGAAAATGTTAAATTATGTTCGATTTTTCATTTTAGTTTTTTTAATTAAATTTAAATATTCAGTAGAAGTTTAATTAAGTTTCTTCATACTCATAAGTCAAGTTGTCCCTTCCTTTTTAGCAACAAGTTGATTGGGTAGATTAAAAGAAATTAACAGATTGAAAACAGTATGTTAATAGAACAAAAAGTTTTAACAGAGTCAAAATTTTTTTTTACACTATTGAGACTTCATTTAGTATGAATTACAAAAGGTTGCAAAAGAAATAAGTGTAATTTCCCATGCATTATAGATTGAAGTACTTGCAAGTACTAAGCACTTATTTGTTCTGAAGATGGTATAGTATAGCGCCACTTAATCACTGCACTTGTCTAAAACTCTTAATTTTGTCTGTCCAAAATAGTAATGTTTTCCAAGTTAATCCTAAAAGGTAAATGTGTTAAGCTATCTAACCATGAAAGGATTTAGTGGTCTATGCTATGATGGTGTTGACTAGCAATCCTAAAAGGTAAATTAGAGTAAACTGATTTTTGTTATAAGCTAAAAAGCATCTGAAATTTTAAAAATCTTGAATAAAATCGTTTTATTAAAGTTAAAAACATAAACAAATTTCAATTTATGAATTCTTTTTATCATCAATGAAAAGAAGTTTATCCATCCAAAATTTATGTGCTGATCTAAAATATCAAATGCTCATTCCCATGGTTCAACAAGTATTAGATATCAGATATACCGCCTAAAGGAGAATTTTTGTACTATTCCAATGCCAAGAACTCGTTCCGAGATCCACTTATTAGATATACTTGATAATAGAGCTTGATTTTGGTAAGATTTGTATTTTACAATTTAAAATTACGCCTACTACTACTTTCAAAATAATAGTTACAAAAAAAATTAACATTTTTAATTTTATAAATATGTAACACCCTCTTTTATATCATGTAATGATGCCCCTTGTAGACGTCTATACGTCAAAGATACTTATGTTTGTTTTCCTCTAAAGTCCTCGGCTCTCGAAAAGCTCAAGAAAGAAGCAATATTTTATGTGGCTTGAAGAGACAAGGATGAGGAGTGAAATTTCCACAAAAAACTGACAAAAGGAAGGGCTTAATATACTTCTATATAAATACTTATGCTTGTTTTCCTCCTCAGTTCAGAAAAGAAGCAATATTTTGAATGTCTACTAGCAGAAGAGACAACGATGAGGCCGAACCTCAAAGAGGATATTGGAGATGGAGCAAACAAGATTTCTTGCCAGAGGAGTCCTTCCAAAGCTGGAACAACTACGTTTCTGCCCTCTCACACACATGGATAAGGTTCAAGGATAGTCTTTTCAGCAGATCAGATGATGCCACTGAGACAGAAGAACTCAAGAAACAACGTGAACATGACATGAAACGTTGCCTCAACTGGTGGGATCTCACATGGATAGGTTTTGGTTCAGTGGTTGGAGCAGGAATCTTTGTGCTCACTGGTCAAGAAGCTCATTACCATGCTGGAGCAGCAATTGTTTTATCCTATGTTGCCTCAGGCTTCTCAGCAATGCTTTCGGTTTTCTGCTACACTGAGTTTGCCGTAGAAGTTCCATCAGCAGGAGNATTCGAGTTGGAGATCCTGTTTATGTTCTTAGAAAGGTCTCTTCTGCAGCCGAAGCAGCTGCCTGAACTGTGTACGTAGAATCTGCAGGATTCTAATACCAGCAATTAAAGTGCTGCAATTACAAACTTTATAAAACATTAGCCTATTAAATTTCCACCATTCTTATAAAATATAATATACACTTTAGTTTTGTATGTCTAATTCAATAAATATCTTTGTATCTGTGTTTGTTTCCATATTCCTGAAAATCAAATTAACTTTTAAAATTAAAGTTTGATGCTATGGAGAAAAATATCCTGGAATGTAATTTACGGAAATGTTTTCTTTTTCATTGTTCCGGAGCTACATATGGTGTATTCTGCCTCATCTTAAGTGAATTACTTATTGTGCTTCTTTCAATTTTCTTATTTCAAAGTATATGTCTGTGTTACTATATTTTTCTTGAGTTATTATAACTATTATTCTCTTTATATATTAATTTTATTAGGAATATAGTTGAAAAAAATGTTATCCTAAAATTTCAAAAATAACATAAAAGAAGAGATTTTTTTACTAAAAAACTAACGATCGAAAAGGAACGGAAATAGTATGTTAGTAGTTACTATAAGTAGTTGATATTTAAATTCTTCAATGAAAGTTTGGGATTTAATTTTTAATTTATGTATGAAATCAGGATGATATGCATCATTAACTTCCAAGTCAGTGGAATGAGTGACAGAAATATTAGTTAAATATTAAGTATAATTTTCAATACTTTCTAGAAAAAAAAAAGTATAATTAGTTCTTTTAATTATTAGTTTAAAGTTTTGTTTACATTTAGAAAAAGCTATATCACTTTGATCATTTTACTAAATTCGGTAATCATTTTCAGAAAAAAAAAAATTAACCTCTAAAGAAAACTGTTTTTTTCTGTCAAATTATCTTATCTATAATGTGATGTCGTGTCAGGATAACTGTGTACTTCTAGGAGAGCTGGCTGTTCCTGTGGAGTTCTAAAGATATTTTAGATTGCTTGGTTGGAAGTCACAAATGAACTGAGATGTACGAAAATGTGAAAAAACCATGCAACGAGTTTAAAACTGTCTCATATTCAATCATAAATAAACATGTAACTTTGTCAGTAAATTTTATATTTTTGATGTTTACAGTTACACGCCTTTCTTAATTTGAGTTTTATTTTTAGTGACGTTAGTTTAAACAAACATAGTGAAAAACTTGATTTCACCTACTAATTATATCCAAAAGTAATGAGTTTTGATTCTGTTTGATGGTGAATGCTGCTATAATAAGAGTAACCTGTTGAGAGTGGTGAGTTACTTAGAAGAGGAAGAATGGGTGGTGGAGCATCAACAACACCAACACCTTCAGCCAAAGTATCAGCCATCTTCATATACCCAATTAAATCATGCCGCGGAATTTCTGTTTCCCATGCTCCACTCATTCATACTGGTAAGAAATCTTTCTTTCTTTCCTTTTTTCTCACAACAATTTTGTTTCTTTCTCTGTTTATGGTGTAGTGTATACACAGGTTTACTAGTAGTTTTGAGTTGTGTGACAGGATTTCGATGGGATCGACAATGGATGGTGGTGAATCCTCATGGAAGGATGTACACTCAAAGAGTTGAACCAAAGCTTGCTTTGGTTGAGGTTGAACTGCCATCTGAGGCCTTTCTTGAAAACTGGGAACCAACTCAAGAATCCTATATGGGTATATTGCATTTTCCAAAACCATAGCATAATAAATAGTAAACATCATCAGCTTATGGTCTTAAATCAGTTGTTACATAGCACGTATTCGTATTGTTGAAAAAAGATTGGAATTTCATATTCTTCATAATGATGGTTGTTTTCTTCCTAGTTTAATGTTAAGTGCCACTTGATATTACAGTGGTGAAAGCACCTGGGATGCAAGCTCTCAAAGTTTGTTTGAGTAAACAAGAGCAGGAAGTAGCAGATGCTGTCACAGTATGGGAATGGACTGGATCTGCCTGGGATGAGGGAGCCGAAGCATCTCAGTGGTTCTCAGATTATTTAGGAAAATCCTGTCAACTGGTCCGCTTCAACTCTGGTAGGTTTTTGAAAGTATGAAACCTTAGAGAATAAGATAAGAAGAACAACAAAAATGTTTAGAGTGGTGTACTTTAGGCACGTAATTAATTGTTAAAGGAGTAAAGCTTTTTTCAGAACACATGCAATGATTCATTACAAAGAGTGCACATTAATTGTCTGGAACTCTTTTAGTTGATAGCATCCAAAGAAACAAAACCTATAATGTTGTGAATTAGAGGGCTGGCCAGTTTTAAGACCCGTTTCTTGCTGTGTTGTCTCTCTCATTTTGCTTTGAATGAGAATGCCGGTCAGCCTTGTTATCTTGAACAAGTCACCCAACAGACAAGATACAGATTTCATATACTATCCATTGAAAGTTTCCTTTTGGCCTATGAAAGTTTCATATACTACAGATTTCATATCCATTGTGTTTATGCTTAATATATTTGAAACTTAGGATGATTCTAGAAGTCAATGAGAGACTATGTTTGATGTTTTAAGTAGGATAGTAGTTTTTCAAATAAATCTGTTGTTTTATTTATATATTACTGTTATTTTATGCTATGTTAAATGTATGCAATAATATTACATGAACCAAACTACAATGTTTTCCCGTTCCATGCCATGTGAACCCAATGTCGTATCAGTGCTTTGAATGGCCTTAATAGTTATGATAACTGTCCAATGTTATATTTCCAAACTGTAACCAAAGAATCTTAACAAGCCTTAGAGAGCTGAAGGAGAAAGAAACAGACACGAGACCTGCATTACGCCTGAATTATCTTGTGCAGCAAAGTTGGCTTGAGAACCAAATTACTTCCAGTAGTAATATACAGAGTTTGAGGTGTTTACTTTGAGATTAACATATTCATTTAATGTTTCCAAATGCAGCTTCTGAAGTTAGAAAAGTGGATCCTGATTATGTCAAGGGACAACATGATACCTTATTTACTGATGGTTATCCATTCTTACTAGCATCTCAGGTCATTCTAGCTGGGAATGAAGTTTATATTTTACTTATTTACTGAATCTTTTACTCAGTATTTGTCATTTATCACTTTCAGGAATCCTTGAATGCACTAAACGAGCATCTGAAGGAGCCCATTTCTATTAATCGGTTTAGACCCAAGTATTGATTTTTCGATGTGTTTTTGTTTACTCCTGAATTGTATTGTTTCCTAATATTTGTTATTAACTCACACAATTGAGTTTTTGGGTGTTTCATTGTGCAGTATCCTCGTTGAAGGGTGTGAACCATTTTCTGAGGACATATGGACAGAAATCAAGATAAGCAAGTTTTCATTTTTTGGTGTCAAACTCTGCTACCGTTGTAAGGTACTTTATAATGTCCCACCGCGCCTCCTGAACATGGAGCACATGACTTACCCTGACATTGTCCATCTATGACTCATCTTCTCACTACTCTGTAATGCTTTTCTAACTTAGATATCTATCACATGGATTTGACTCTTCTAAAGTGAGCAAACATTTAAAGTTGGGGGGCATACAAATGTTGATTTGAATTGAAGTGCCCCGTTCACTTTAGAGGAGCTAGATTCTAAAATGCACATGCCAATCTAATTTTCCCTGTAATTTCTTAGTTTTCTTGTTTATCCAACTGGCTTGATTGATTGTTGTATGAACAGGTGCCTACAATCAATCAAGGGACCGGAATAGCAGGGCCTGAACCAAATGAAATTCTCATGAAAACTAGGTCTGGAGAAATCATAAGGCCAAATGATAAAAATAAAAAAAGGGTAAGACCTTGAGTCATCAAGCTTTCAATAAAGCTATTTTTGTTTAATGATGTGAAATGACATGTGAACTGCTTCTGTAGGTTTACTTTGGTCAGTATATGACCTGGAACTGGACAGAATTTTCAGCTGAAAGAAGTGGTAAAATCATTGAAGTGGGGGGTCCTGTTTATGTTCTTCGGAAGGTCTCTTCTTCAGCTGAAGCAGCTGCTTGAACTGCGTATGTGGAATCTATATCGATGCTATATGAGAAATTAAAGAGCTCCAATGACATAAAAATGATCAACCATAGTACCAACTCCATGCGTAGTTGTAACTGGATATACAAATAAATGCAAGCTGGGGCCTGTGATAAGGCTTGTGCAATGAATAACGAGGTTGTATTTTTCTATTTCAATTATGGTAAGTGGTGCCAAAGATAATTGCACGCACAATCTGGTTGAAATGTGATTGGTTACTGAGTAGTTTCATGAATCCACCCGTGTATTCTATCAAGAAAACAGCTAAAATGTCTCCAAAACTTTCCATCGAATGAATTGGCAGCAGTGTTTATTTGTTGATGAATGAGTGGATTCTATTGTTTAACCATCCAATAAAATATTATTGAAAATGTTAAATTATGTTCGATTTTTCATTTTAGTTTTTTTAATTAAATTTAAATATTCAGTAGAAGTTTAATTAAGTTTCTTCATACTCATAAGTCAAGTTGTCCCTTCCTTTTTAGCAACAAGTTGATTGGGTAGATTAAAAGAAATTAACAGATTGAAAACAGTATGTTAATAGAACAAAAAGTTTTAACAGAGTCAAAATTTTTTTTTACACTATTGAGACTTCATTTAGTATGAATTACAAAAGGTTGCAAAAGAAATAAGTGTAATTTCCCATGCATTATAGATTGAAGTACTTGCAAGTACTAAGCACTTATTTGTTCTGAAGATGGTATAGTATAGCGCCACTTAATCACTGCACTTGTCTAAAACTCTTAATTTTGTCTGTCCAAAATAGTAATGTTTTCCAAGTTAATCCTAAAAGGTAAATGTGTTAAGCTATCTAACCATGAAAGGATTTAGTGGTCTATGCTATGATGGTGTTGACTAGCAATCCTAAAAGGTAAATTAGAGTAAACTGATTTTTGTTATAAGCTAAAAAGCATCTGAAATTTTAAAAATCTTGAATAAAATCGTTTTATTA